TGCGTGCGTGCGTGCGTGCGTGTGTGTGTGTGTGTTTAAGCAAAATGAGAAAAGGGGGAGACTTGATCATGTTTGATGTTTAATTATGTTGGGACTTAGAACTATTTCAGTTACACCAGGTTACCATTGTGATGAAGATTGGAGCTTTTGCTTAGGCAGAGGATGGATATGTATAGAATAGAATAAGATTTTCTAAGGAGCAGAATTTGCATTTATTATGCTAATATGTGCTAATGTTTGTTAATAGTTAGTTAGTTAGTTAGTTAGTTAGTTAGTTAGTTAGTACAATCTTATAATTCAGTGATGTAACAAAACAGTTTTGCAACATAATATAACACAATTACTTTAAGACTACTTAATATGGTCACTTCAAAATAACTTAATTCAATGATTTGGAAGTCATGTGAACAAATTACTTAATTGATGTGCAACTGATGTACATGTATAAACAATGTAAATCCAGAACACTTTCTACAGTGCATGGTATTTAAATAAATCATTAATAAAAAAAATCATTAATATAATTTGAGTATTTTTTAAGTTGTTCCAAAGGATCATTTTGTTCTGTGCATACTTTAAAACCCCTGCTAACAAAAGTTAAACATTACTGACAGTCAGGGAACAAGAAAAAAAAAAGACCAATTAAACGAATAAATGGCAGAAGCAATTAAACTCATGCCATCCCCCAAATGTTCTAGACATTTCCAACAGATGTGAATATTTCATTTCCACAGGTACGATACCCTTCACACCTTAGTTCAGACCTGAAGGATCTTCTGCACAATCTGCTGCAGGTGGACCTCACAAAACGCTTTGGCAATTTGAAAAATGGAGTCAGCGACATAAAAAACCACAGATGGTTCGCTACAACAGACTGGATTACAATCTTTGAGAAGAAGGTGTGACCTTTGTTGTTTTCTTTCAGGTTTCAATTTTTTAACTGGTTCTTGAGAACTGCTCTTATAAGCTGGTTTATTTTTTGAATGATTTTACAGATTGATGCTCCCATCATACCAAAGTGCAGAGGACCTGGAGACACGAGTAACTTTGATGAGTACGACGAGGAAGACATCCGGTTATCTGTCACAGAGAAATGTACAAAAGAGTTCTTGGAGTTTTAGAGTCTCTGTAAAGGCTTTAGTAAAAGTTTACATGGGTACTTTGTCTTGTTATGCACCTTCAAAGTTGAATCCAAGAACATCACAATTCCTTCCACATTGCTTCATTCAAAGAGACTTGGGGAGATTTGGAAATTCACAGGTGCCTTTATCAGTGAAGTTTAGTCTACTGCATAAAAAAAAAGATCATAGTCTTCTGTCTGGAAACATTTATGATTAAAGTTGAGATTTTTTACTTGTGTTCATCTTTTATATGTTAATTAATTTATAAAATGAATAAAGCATATTTTTCCTGCGTTGAACTATTTTTTTTTCACTCATGTGTGTTACACATGAAAGAAATGTGCAGTATATGTTCAGTATTAATACATGAGAAAAGCTCAATTCCACATTATGTTTAAGTGTGTGTGCACGATATCTGTTTGTGGAATATATGCGCTGAAGAAAGCTTTTGGTTGTTCAGAAATATCAAAAGAAAGTATTTAAAAATATATGATCCTGATATTTCATCTAAAGTCTTGAACTGCACTGAAATTGAAAATGAAAATAGGTTTTTGATTTGTGCACCTTCTCATCTGTCGTCTTATATGGACCATGTGAATACTTTTTTTTAAGAGAAATGTTATATCTGCTGTAGAGATTATGATGTCCAATTTTGGGACAAATTATTTTGACACTGAATTAAAGAAAATTATTTACATTGCTTTATAATGTCCAATGCCTTTTGTCACTTCTGTTTGTCTGTGAGTATAATTGTGAAAGATGCTAATATTATAATATTATACAAGTAGAATGTTAATGCATTTTAGTTGGTGTTAAAAGCCTGTTATAACAACTAACAATTCATGGCTTTTTTATTTATTTATTATTTGTTTATTATCATTATAACTTTATTTAATTTTTTATGTCAAAATGTCAGTAGTTTGACGGCATTATTTTATTTTTTCTAAGATAATTGTTTTGGTTTTAAAATAAGGTATATTGTGAATTTACTCATTATTTATGGGAAATGTAAATGGGCATTGAAAAAAAATACTTTTACTCATCTGAAGAAATAGGTCACTACCTTCACACATCAACAGAAACAAGAAATAACAAAGCAAAAAAGACTTTGTGAATTACTGTCCGTTGCAATTAATGTATGCTAATTGCTTGTCAAGATGCTGATTTGCCCTTTATTCTTTATTTATTTTTCTTGATGTAATTGAAATTGCCTTGTTCATTGTTGGAGAGACTGCAACAAGATTGTGAACAACTACATTTCCCATCGTTCGAGACTACATTACCCATGAAGCCCCGCGCCTGCATTTGTCGGATTGTGCTTGGGGAAAAAAAGCGTAATATTGTTCCAATGATCGAGAATCAATAACATTCAAAGCATCTACAAACAACATCTGTTAAATTGGTAAGATAAAAGCTTTTCATCCAAATAATTGGAAATTGTCGTTTTGTTTTCTCAGAAAGACGGCAAATGTCATAAATGTTGAGTTAATGGAAGCTAGCTAGCTAATGAGTTTATCATCTGCTTTATTAATCATCACACTGTCGAAATTAATCATGAAAACACTTGTACTATATTAAATAGATAATCTGATGATCCAATACTTCTGTTTAACCTGTCAGAATTCAGTGATGCAGTTACAGATACATTCGGTCTTGCTATAAATATATTTCAGACGGCATTTTTCAATTATTAAAAATCAAGGATACTTCATTTATAATAAGTTATTAAATACTTTATTTAGAATTAAAAATATCTTTTCTGGTTTAAAAATGATGGCTGTCATTTTGTTCATCGTGTTTCATAAACACTGAACCTGTCAAACCAGCACAGATGTGAAGAGAAATGCTTATTTAATTTCCTTCAAAAATGTGATATATTGCTCAAGCTGTTTTTCAAATTTAAAAGCTGTTTATATCAAAATAGCGATGGTAGTAGTTTTATAACGATGACAGTAATATTAATATATTTTATTTGTTAATAATGTTTTATTTTTGACAGATAACCTTAGAGTTATCACAGTTTTTCATGTTTAACATGTCTCTCTTGTCTTACTGACCTGAACTGAACTACTTACTGAACTATAAATGCTTGATCATCTTCTTTATTGCTCAGATCTTTTATTATTTTGCAGAATCAATTCTCTAAGTACACCAAGATATATTCATAAACTTTCTGGAAGATGGGGCAGCTTTGCACAGCAGGAGACTGATGAGGAGACAACTCAACACCTCTAATGGAATAGAGCAGTCTCAGCTCTCTGACAAACAGGTGAGCAATAGATCAGAGCTAATCAGATTAATAAGATGATTATTGTTCACATGAAAGCAGAGCTTCTGTTATGCACCTCAATAAATTATTTAGAATTTGCTTAAACATGAAACAGTTTATTGAATTTTGATAATGCATCTCCCATACTGTAGCAGTTCTTAGAATCTACGACAGTGATGATAGACTAAAATTGAATGTATTAAACTTTGTTTTATTATTATTATTTTATCCAGCAGTCATGGAAACCAAGGAAAATGGTTCAGTGGACACCAAATGGTAGGTGTATATACAGTAATGTTGGGTTCGAGTTGAGTCCAAGTCTTTAACAATTAAATTTGAGCGAGAAACATTTAGTAATGTCTTGTCATCTTAATTTTATGTTGTTACTGTACTTTTTAATCTTTCATGTTACACATGAAGTGATTTTGACAGTACTCATCAAAACCAGTAGGCCAGAAATAGTATTTTCGTGACTGACTCTGACTCAGAAAAGTAGAGCTTGCCTTCTCAATCCATTTATTTAGCCATCCTCGAAGTTGCTGTTGCTTCCCCTGTAGAAATGAAAACAATGCGGAATTTAAGGATTTTTAATTTCGTCTTCCCAATTAATTGACAATTTTTAGAAATAATTCATTTTCTGCCTTCAGTTTGTGTAAAACAATTCTCGAGGGGGGAAAAAATCACGTTATAAATATGCTCCACATTGGCGGAGTTATTTTCAAGCGGCAACCTCCCCCTCTCTCTGGTGAAGCCAACAAGGAAGTGACTTAAACTAATTCATCAACTGGCCGCTAGAGGCTGGCTGCAAAAGGGAGTCAATCCCATAGACTCCCCATGTTAAAATGCCCAACTTTACAGCAGAAAAAAACGTTTACAGCCTGGTTCAAAAAATGATTTTGGTCTATATCCTCCTGAGAACCAGAAATAAAAAGCCTTGTGAATTTAGTATTTTTTCATGTCATTACATTGTTTAGAGCATAAGAAAAAAATGGTAAAATAACATTTTTGAAAAATTTTATTTATTTATTTATTTTTACTTCTCAAATAAAATATTCTTGAGCCAATTTGGAGGAAACGTCTGCTAAATGAAGAAATGTTGAAAACAGAAAAGCAATAGACATTTTACGAAACATCATTGACTGAACAAGATAAGACATTATTTTTCCAACCATTACAGTGACATTTTATCCTTGCATTTCTCACAAACGTTTCTTGAAAGGTCTGACCCCCACTTCTCAACAGAACAAATGTACAGTAATATGGCTTGTATTTCCATGTTTGAGGCAATTCATTATTAGTTGAGCTAATCTTTATTATGTATGATATACTTTAGATCTGGAATATTAAACTCAATTTCCCTGAATTTATGTTGCCATGCACTTTTTTTTAACATGCGTAACTAAATGCTCAGTCACTAATCTCTCACTCACAGTCAGCTGTATATAAAAAAATGATGGGAATTTGACAGTAATTGTGCAGTTTCCTAGATCAGTGGAGCATCGCTTCGTCATTTTATAAGACAATCGTGTTATGAATACATAATATCATTTTATTATTTATCTCCTTTGTCTTTTTTGCTAAACTTTCCCCCGGCAGGAAATCGATGGCAAATCCCTTTTATTAATGACTCGAAATGACGTTCTGACCGGACTGTCAATAAAACTGGGTCCTGCACTGAAGATCTATGAGTATCACGTCAAGCCTCTCCAAACCCAGCACTTAAAAAGTAACGTCTCATAGCTGCTGCAGCCACAAGGATGCATGGAAGACAATCACAGCCGGGGCGCAGGGTAACTGCAGGTAGAACTAATACATTTTATGCATCTTAATAAATAAACATGGTGAATGTATTGCTTTTAAGGTCTCTTTCTGCTGTACAGGCATATTTACTGTTTTTAGTTTACCTGCGTTTAACATGTTCATTCAGATTTTACCTTCACTTTGTGTACTTGTACATATCATTATTGCTTTTAAGTTTAAATGCTTGGTTTAATAATGTGATCTGTGATGTAAAATGAAAAATGGCTTGAACTAAAATTGAAACACTGTTCTTGAAGATGTTTCTGTTATGCATGAAGTACATTTGAACAGAAGTGAAAGGGAGATTGCTGCCACCGTTTAGATTTTTATTGGTTTGTTGGTGTTTTTTTTTTTTTTCCTTTTTTTTTTCTGGTTTTTAATAGATAAAAAGTTTGTTGAGATAAAGTAACAGCACAAATGATCAAATGTCTGAAAATGATGTATTTGTTATAGGGATGCACGATATTGGATTTTTGCCGATATTATTCAACTCATTTTGGCCAATAGCAGATGCCGATACCGATATATTTCCTTTTGTTTGGAAACAACACCAAGTGTAGCAAATTATTTTTAATTTAATTTTTTTTTTATTTCATTTTTTTTTTTACAAAAACTTATTTGCGTCACGGACACTACGTCCATGTTTTTATACAGTCTATGGTTATTTTACAAGGGAAGAGCCATGGCAACCAGACTGAAAATAATTGTTTGTATGGCAACTGTTGTCAAAGGAATCAGCACTGATTTTATGTTCACAAAGTGTCACTTGTTAAAGATCTGAATATTATTACAACACTTTTTTTTATTTTTTTCCTGAACAAGATGTTTTGTGGAAATTTTATAATCAATTTCAGCACACACCCTCTCTCAAAAACTCAGCCCTCCAAATACATTTCAGTCAACCCAATATCAGCATATACAAATGTGTAAAATGCAGAGAACGGTGTCTATTTGGCTAAAAAAATAAATAAATACAAAGCTCCCATATTCTTTTGTGCTGTTACAGAGACAGTGTGATTTCTCAGGACACCTATTTAGTGATATTTTACAGTAGATTTAAAGGGTTAGTTCAACCGAAAGTGAAAATTACTCACCCTCATGTCGATTCAAACCGCTTGATTCATATGGATTTATTTTATGATCTCTTTATGCATGTTTTGAAGTGTCCGAGTTTTAATGGAGGGAGAAGAAATCCCTCAGATTTCATTAAAAATATCTTCAGTTCTGTTCCGAAGATAAACAATAGTCTTATGGGTTTGGAACAACATGAGAGTGAGTAAATGATGACAAAATGTTCTTTTTTGGGTGGACTAACTCTTTTGACGATTGTATAGACGTACAGTATTTGGTTAAATCATGCTAATGCATCAGTGAAAACTTTTTCTGTCCCTAACAGTTCTGTGGAGAACGGGCAGCTTTCTGATCCAGCCCACTGGGCCGTAGCGGATGTGGTCAATTATTTTAAAGCTACAGGATTTGAAGAGCAAGCTAACGCTTTCCAGGATCAGGTAGGGATTTGTTGTCATATTTTTATTTTATTTTTTGCACTTTTTTTATTTTTGTAAATATTTCTACAAACCAACCAGGTTCATATGATATAATATTCAGAAAATGTTCATGTGTGTATATATATATATATATATATATATATAATATATAATTTTATTTTAAGATTTAACATTTGTAGATGGTCTAAAGCAAAAGAGTTGTACAAATTCTAAAAATCTTTTAGAGCTCATAATTTGTTTAAAAAAAATAACATATACAACACATTAATGAATTTACAAGTGTCATGTTTGTGATTTTTTTTTATTCATGTAAGCGATAGCTTCTGACCTTTAAATCAAAACATACTCATGATTTTATGACATCAATTACTGCTTTATTTAATCAGAAACACAGTCTAAATGTTATTTGTGTATTTTACTTTCATTTCATTAAAAGTAGGCCAACAGCGCCCCCTACGGAATTATAACTCCTTACCGAACGGGCATTAGGACCTGGGGGAAGCTGCCGCTGCACGTGCTATTACTGTTTACTCACACACCGAACGCCAAACGGGCATTAGGACCTTACCGAACGGGCATTAGGACCTGGGGGAAGCTGCTGCACGTGCTATTACTGTTTACTTACACACCGAACGCGTCATTAGGTACGTGCATTCTCGGTTTAAATGCAGCGATCCAAAGCAGTGAATCTAATCACCTTTCAGGCAAAACTTTGCTTCCAGAATGAGTCACACTTCTGATGTGATCTAATCGCTAACACACCCTGAGCACATGTGAGTTAACATATTCCTCTTATCGGCAAGACACATCGGCATATTTTTTCATGTCGGGCCAATGCCGATATGTACATTTAAAGCCATTATCGGCCGATTCCGATATCTGTCCAATAATATCGTGCATCTCTAATTTGCTGTGGTTTACAGCTATAAATGCTCAATACATTAGGGGTTTGTTTGCAGGAATCCTGTCAGAATGACAGTGCTTTGTGTTGCTATGAATTCAGTTGAGTTATTTCATTTTGTAACTAACAATGTGATTCCTGATGAATTGGTGAATTGTTGTTGTTGAAACCCAACACAACACTGTAAATCTACAGCGGCTTGTGATACAGGGTGTTTTAAAAGATGAAACTAAAGTGAGCGTAGACTGCAATAAATGGTGCTTTTTCAGATTGCTGAAAAAATCCACTTCCTGGTCCTCATTACAGTGCTGTGTGACTTCCTTCCTTTTGTGCATATGTGTATTTGAATAATATCTCCAAAAATGGATCATTAAATGTAATAATCAGTTTTCAACTTAAAAACAATCTCCTAAAACAATTAAATCCCAGAATTGTTACATGCATGTTTATCTGTTTCAGGTTTTTTTTTCTAAAATTAATTCCTTATTATAGTAAGGTGATGATGAAGCTAATTGTTCTTTAATGTTCATAATGATTTTAATTGTTGTGGTTACTCCAAAACCACTGCTGTAAACACCATTCAACTCAAACAAAAAACGAAATTTTAACACATCTGACAATTTTGGTTTTAAAATACTCATTAGGAAAACAATGTTAAAACTCTGAAAACTCAAATATAAAACCTAATATAAATGGATTCAAACAAAGAAGTTATAATGACGAACACGTACACATTTTTGGACTATATTTATTAATATATTTATCCATAATGTGAATGTTTTCATTTCAACATATTTTTATATTATTTGTTTATTTTACTTGTGTGATTACACAAAAAATCTGTTTCTAATTTTTAAAAAGTTTGTTGAATGTTTAGACAGATAATCATGCTAGTGCATAACTTGAGATTGCTTTTATAGGGTTTATTTGTATGAGATGTCTGGTTTGTGAATGTTGTCTTTCTCTACATTTTGGCTCGTGGTTTTCTGCGTATAGTGCCTGTGATGTTTCCTGATGGATTATCAAGGGGAAGATAAACCTGAAACGAAAGCACAGCAACATAATGTGACGTGGTTTTTAAATATAATACAAACAAAGAAACATCATTACTTTATCATCTCTAAGTTGGGATAACAAAACATCCTCCTCCTGTGTGTGTGGTTTGTAGAAGTTTGGCAATAAAGTCATTTTAAGAGTAGCAGTCTCAAAATTCCTTGATTTTGTCACAGAGCCTGAAAACTCTAGACTTTGTCCTGTGTCAATACAGAAGTATTCAGACCGATCTGAACTGATAACCTCTGACTTTTTTTCCCCAAAATTTTGCAATGGATTTCTGTCACTCACCTCATCCTTGTTTGAGAGTCCAATTTTTGTCATGTCAGTGATGAAATAATGCTGATTTGGCATAATTATCTCAATTTCTTCTACCTACGGGATTCCAGTAATGACAAGACTTGTGTCATTTTCTTTTTACAGTTGCTTTTAAGTACATTTACTTGTAAATGAGTAACATAATAAAGCAATAAACCACTTAAAGAGACCAATAACTCTTAAGTATGAGTAATGCTTACCTTAGTAAACACTTCTAACAAAAGTCACACAAAACTGAAATCAGTTTGATTTACCTGTGGAATTCTGTCAAGTACCAGAACTTGTGTATCATACAGAGTTTTCTGAACAGACGGAGAGTATTCTCCACGATCGTAGGGTCCCGCAAACTTCTGAATGATGGTGTCCTTAACAGTTTTCCTACAAGGACATTATCATTACAGTTAGGAGTAATATACAGTACAGCATGCAGTACAACATATAACGGATATCATGTGCTATGAAATGTCTAAATGTTTTTCATTTTATTATGACATGTCTAAACGTTTTGCATTTACCATGCAGCATCAAATGCCACATTCACATGTGTGTTGTAGCGCCATCTTGCATAAACAGAAGTGCAGAAGAATCTGTCCTTTGCATCTGTCAGAGTGGTGAAACGGTCTCGCAGGAAGCCTTCAAATCCAGACTGAGTAGTCTTCAGTACCTTCATATCTCTTATACCGCTGTGAACCACTGGAGTCACTGAGAAAGATATATACTGTATATGCTGAAATAAAGCAAGAATATACTTTCCCTTTAATACTTTCAGACCACCATCACTAGTTCAGAATCTCATTTTTACTCACTGCTCAAATGTTGTTCGACCTCACAGAAGTGCCAGGCCTCAGGACAAAGGATGAAAGCATGTGTGTGCTCAACTCCATTCTGTTAAACACATGTTAATAATATTTTGGGCATTAAAAACATGTTACTCAGCTATATGATGCTAGCCAAGTGTTACAGGGGCCACAAAATGTTTTAATAATATATTTAATAAGATCAATTATATAATTTAAACATTTATCAAACAAAATGGCATCTGACTGGTGTCAAGGTGATTTTTAGTGGCTGTATGAAGTCAGATCCATTTAGGTCTAAGCTGGCTAGTCCTGGCACCAGTTACTACAGGTGTAGTTCATCACATTACTCTGGATTTGTTTCACAAACAACCAGTAAGTGTCCAAAGTTACATCAGCTAACCCCTGGGGTGCCTCAGGGTTCAGTCATTGATCCCTTACTCTTCTCAATATAGACCACCTCACTCAGCCCAATAATAAAAGTAAACAGCTTTTCCCATCACTACTACACAGATGATACACAGCTGTCATTCCAACCTGGCAAACCCACTATCTCAGATTTTAGTTCTGCTTGCGATTCAGGCATTTTGGCATGAGTGAAGGGATGCCACCTTAACTTTGCAAACACAGAACTCCTGGTGAGCCCAGCTAGACACTTCTTTTTAAAGGCACTTTTATAATAATAATAAGAACAAGAAGAAGCTTTTCTGAACTTCTCTAGCTTTGGTTCTCTTGCAGTACCGTGAATACGCATAGCTTTTGTAGAATAAATTAATTGTGATGTTCCTGATTCCTTAGTAGTTTTCATAAGCATTTGCTAAATTACTAAATATAAATACAAATGTCTACATACTTTTTGGGAGTCACAGTATATAGTCTGCTTTAGCAGTAACACAGCACCTTTTCCAGTCTTTTCCAGGGAACTTCATCAATGTTGACCCTCACTCTTGTGACATGATTGAACGCCGTGAGGAAATGTTCACAGATATCCAGGGCAAAGCCCTCAATGGTCTTAATCTGCAAGACAAGAAATATTCTGTGCTTCATCATACAGACATGGCTTGAAATAACAAAACAAAATTGTTTAATTGCAAGATGACTTAAGTTGATTTGATAACTAGTTCAGAGAATACTTTGTACACTAGACATTTGTGTTGATTATCTAAACTAATGCTGGTTGGCATTCACTCGAAAAAGTGAGTATGTAGCTGTTTCAGAACTGTGGTAGTTATATTATATATTTGTCTTCTAGGCTAATGTATTGCATGAAGTTCCTTTTTATGTAACAAAAATTATTTTTACAATGTAGTTTTTGTTTGTTTTCATTTATATTTGGGGAAGAAAATTATGAATTTAGCTAAAACAAGTAAGTTGCAGGGGCTAAACTAAATGAATAAAAGGACCTACTCCTTTTAGTTTGGCGAGAGCGTGGACAGTGTTTTTGATGGTGTCAGTGGGGATGATATCAGAGTTGTCTCCTGTCAAGTAGTCTTTGCGTGTCTTCAGGGTTAACTGAACATCTGCGATCAGCTCAGTAATATGGTGATGAATCCCTTCACGGTGAATGTGAAGAACTTTAACCATATTCTTCCCATAGCCTGTTCTCACAAACTCCACATTCTACATGAAACATGTTATTAAATACTGCAGTTTAAATGCATTTCTAAAAGAGGCTGGCATGACACATGCCAGTATACACTATACAGTATGAATGAAAGTGAATTTCTTTACCGGATTTGAGGTAGTGCCCATGACTGTAACTGGAGTTACTGCTGACTGCACCAGTAGTTGGAGGAGGTTTTGGAGGGAGCAAAGGGTTTTGCTGAGGAGGTGGTGTCACGTACCTGTTTTGATGTTTTGGGTCCAAATGATCAATGATCTGCCCCACCTCCATAATCCTCTACAGAGATTTTGATTTGCTGAAAG